TCTTTATACATACTCGACAATATTATATATAAAACTTATGAGTAACTTCATCTCGAATTTGACATTAAATAAACACACATAGAATAAAACCTTACAATAATAATTGTCTCTTGGGGCCATTGGGTCTAGAGAGAAGACTTGGTCTTCTTCCTCCTCTTTCTCTACTTCATACATATTTCATTATCTCAGGTTTCTATATATTTTCTTCTCTACTTTTTATAATTTATCCGCTTGTCTGCTATCTCTTACATTAAATCTAAACCTAAATCAGTAGAATCTCTAATCCCGTTTTTAATATACTTTTCTTTTTCATCAAATTTTTTTTTTCTTTTTGTGTTTGGTGTTGGCATGGCTGGTCTTGATCTAGGCACAACTTCTCGCTACGTCCACAACGTCGATGGTGGCGGCGGCGGCCAGTTCACCACCGACAACCACCACGAGGATGACGGTGGCGCTGGAGGAAACCATCATCACCATCATAATAATCACAATCACCATCAAGGTTTAGATTTAATAGCTTCTAATGATAACTCTGGACTAGGCGGCGGTGGAGGTGGGGGAAGCGGTGACCTCGTCATGCGCCGGCCACGTGGCCGTCCAGCTGGATCAAAGAACAAACCGAAGCCGCCGGTGATCGTCACGCGCGAGAGCGCAAACACTCTTAGGGCTCACATTCTTGAAGTCGGAAGTGGCTGCGACGTTTTCGAGTGTATCTCCACTTACGCTCGCCGGAGACAGCGAGGAATTTGCGTTTTGTCCGGAACGGGAACCGTCACTAACGTCAGCATCCGTCAGCCTACGGCGGCCGGAGCTGTTGTGACTCTGCGCGGAACTTTTGAGATTCTTTCCCTCTCCGGATCTTTTCTCCCGCCGCCTGCTCCTCCAGGGGCGACCAGCTTGACGATATTTCTCGCCGGAGCTCAGGGACAGGTCGTCGGAGGCAACGTAGTTGGTGAGTTGATGGCGGCGGGGCCGGTAATGGTCATGGCGGCGTCTTTTACAAACGTGGCTTACGAAAGGTTGCCTTTGGACGAGCATGAGGAGCACTTGCAGGTTCAAAGTGGTGGCGGCGGAGGCGGGGGGAATATGTACTCGGAAGCAACTGGCGGTGGCGGAGGATTGCCGTTCTTTAATTTGCCGATGAGTATGCCCCAGATGGGAGTCGAAAGTTGGCCGGGGAATCACGCCGGCGCCGGTAGGGCTCCGTTTTAGCAAATGTTTAAGAAACTTTAATTGATTATTTTCCACTTATTGTTTTCCTCGGAATTTTATGAAATTATGATTTAAGAAAGAAAACAATATTGTTCATGTATTGACCCTCTTAGTGCATGGTTTCTTCTATTTGTTTAATTAACTAGCTCATAAGAATTGTCTGGTTTAGGAAAAAAAAAAATAAGAGAATGGTTTGGTTATTGTTATCAATTTATCCACATGTAAAGCTTCTAGTTCTCTTAAGCCTCTAGCAAAAAAAAAAACCATAATTTCTTCCGTAATAGTGCTCGCTAGGGCAAATTCACATGGCGAATAAAACTTCTCTTTTTCAAATTTGAGGTCACCATTCACTACCATGTTAAAGAAATCAATAAATGACGAGCGTAGTAAACGACAAAAAAAAAGATTAAAAGTAATAGCGGCATAAAACAAAGGAAAGTGCAAGTGGAGTGCTAATTAAGAAATTAAATTAGATAATTTGACCAATTCATTTCCAATCATGCCCTTAATTGCACAACCCATTTGATGCTAAGCTGTCATGCACACACGCAATAATCTAAAGTAAAGTAGCCGAAATTAGTGTTCATCACAAAACAATTAGTATTGATTAACTAACAGTCATTACTTTATTTCTGTCGCATATTACTATAATATTGCTTATACCTTGGAGTAACTAAATACTCCCTTTGTCCCAATATATAAGATGGTTTAGAGCTTTTCATTTGTTCTATTATATAAAATTTTCTCTAATTTCAATGCATGATTTCTATTAGTTTAATAGTTTTTAATTATTTTAATTATGTAGTATCTTCTTCTATTGATTGAATTTTCATAAATGAGAAAACATTTATTATTTTTTAATCTATGTGTTTTTAGTCCAAACATCTAATAAAATGGGACAGAGAGAGTATCAATATAGGACAATTTTGGATTGGTTCATCATTTAAATCTTACCCGGTTGTGGATTCTAAATTTCAACTACGAGCTTGCCTATCGTGGTAAATAATAATGATAATGCAATCCAAAATGTTATACAAAAATAGTAATCAAAAAGCACACATAGACAACATTAGAGATGTATACTACTGATTTTGTAAAGGGTGACGTAGTATACAATTTAGTAATAATATACTGTAGTTGTTTTATTTTTTGTCAACAATATATTTAATTATCCAAGTATTAAAGTGTTGATAAAAAAAGTATTCTAACTGTGGGTAGTGAAGAGACAACCATGATTTCGACCAAGTACCACGGATCATTCTTCTATCTTCATTGGATTTTGTATCTAACTAACTTTTACAAAAATATTAATATTATCATGAACATGATCATGTTCTATAAGAAGCTAATCTAAGTTTCTTTATATAAAGTCTGTAAAGGTGCAAAAGATTACTTGCTAATTATAGTTTGATATACATAATGATTAATACTAAAAACATTAATCAAACTATCACATCCGAATGTTTGACTGCCAATTTTTGTTGGTTTACTTAAATATTGTAATGCTTATTGGTTATATCTTTTTAACTAGAATAGCTATATTGCCAGAGTACCACTTACCAGTCCGGTATTACCAAAGTGTCTTTTAAGTTTGTTTAAACTTCATTACTTTGTAGTTTTGACCCTTTTTTTCCTCAGTAGTTGAAACAAAACATTAGAATTATAAAGAGAAGAATCTTTGTTGGTTTTATTTATTAAATTTCAAAACAAATTAAGGGCCATACCCGAACCGAAAAACTCGAACAATACCCGAACCGAACCCGAACCCGATTTTTAAAAATATCCGAATGGGTCCTAACCTCCTACCCGAAAAAAACCCGAACCGAACCCGAACCGAATCCAATACCCGAATGTACCCGAATACAAATATACACCTATAAATATTAGTTATATTTATATTTATAATACCCGAAATACCTAAAATTACAATCATAAATCCGAATATATTAGGTATTTTAGATATTTTTGGTTATATTTGGGTAAAGAGTAACCATTGTATTTTCGATAAATCGAATATTTCGGTTAGATTTGGGTATATATGAGTTAAAAACCCGAACCCGAAAATATTTCGGGTATTTTTGGTTATTTTCGGGTATTTTGCTTTTTTATTAAAATACCCGAACCGACCCGAACCCGAACCGAACCCGAACCAAATTTTTAGAATACCCGAATGGGTCTTGACCCCCTACCCAAATAGACCCGATACCCGAAAAAAAAGAACCGAACCCGAATGGGTACCCGAATGCCCAGGCCTAGTTTTATTTATTAAATTTCAAAACAAATTGAGGGCCAGATCAAAGGCCCACGTATGTAGCATATATAATACTTTAGATAAAAACTAGTGCAGTAGTGCTCCTTCTCGTGATCTAGCCCAATTAAACCTAGCCGACAATTACTCCCAAAAAAAAAAAGTTATATGAATGGCTCATATCTTCTTCACTAAAAAAACACACTGTTATTCCACGTTAATCGCTTTTTCTCCCCTAACAATCTTGAGCATAGAAATCAATGATCTCGACAACATCCAAATCCGAAAACGTAGAGGCATCGTTCCGAAGAAGCCACAGCAAGTGCTCAAACAAGATCGAGTCGACATGATCAAGCCACACCACTCTACCGGTCCGGTTTAACCGGTTCTTGGTACGATCCTTAGCTGAGCCTATCAAGACTCTAAAAGGGTACTCTTCGAGTACATACGGTTCGACCATGAACTCCTTCTTCTCCTTCCCTACCACCACCCTTATGACTGGATCTTCCATATTTTCGGTGAGATTCCGGTATGCAAACCGCCGTGAGTCGGCTGAGGAGAGACGACGGAGTTTCATTACAGGCGAAATCAAACAACCCATTTGAGAGAAGAAGAATCAGAGTTGTTATAGGGATAGATAATTCAAGAAAGAAAAAAACAGAGTTTATATATAAACACCAAAGAAACGAAGAATACGAACACAAATTAATGGTTTTAGATTAAACGCGGTTTATTTATGTAAAAACCGTGTAAAAGCTTAATGTAGATTTGCTACGTGGCGAACTATGGTTAGTTAATGTAGTTGCGATGTTATATGTCTAGAGTTCGATGGCCGACCCACCGGCTAAACTGTATTTCTCCGTCCACTTGTTTGTTTTTAAACAGAGAACGATTTCACATGAAAGTATATGATAAGTTTCCAGCTATATACCATTGTACCAAGAAAAATATATTAGCTATATACCATTGTACCAAGAAAAATATATTTTCTAACAAACTTCTAGACATCTACGCAAAATTTGCATTTTTATCCAAACTATGTATGTTACCGAAAATGATATATCGTTATATATAAGTTTGTTATGGCATATGAATAGTTTTTTTAAACATAAAGTATGGCTTACGAATATTGATTTTATGAATTGAGAAACCGATTTTCATATCTACAAAACCATTGTAAAAATCAAACATATAACTCATAATTATATTGTTATATATATATATATATGTTATATATATATATCAGCGAGATATTTGAATAACTTTTATATGTTTCGTTTTGCATATATGTTGTATCTATAATGCAACCAAATTTTGGATAAATTTTAATATATTTTATGTGTTATAAGTGACTAATAAATTAAAACTATTTGACTATTTTTTTATTTGTTTGGATATTATCTTTTATTTCCGATCCTTCGCTTTCACTAATTTCAAAAACTAGTATTATCGTTATTCGACGTATACTGTATCATTTAGTATCACAACCAAGTTCTTCCGCCGTATAATGCTTCCGCCTTCACTAGCTTACATGCACAAGTGATTTAACTACGTTTATTTCTGCAAGATTACATTATTTTTTATGCATAAAATAGCAAAAGAAACTAACCAAGAAAATTTCAAGACTGCTAATCTTATATTAGAAAAAAACGTACATATTATATTGGTAAACAAGACGGCTAATCTTAATATAGCTATAGAGCTAGTTTTAGATTTGTCCCGGCGGGTAATTAGCTCCGGTGGCTCGGGTAGGGTAGGTGGAGTGACCGGGAAGACGGTGGCCGTGAACCTGAGCGTCTGCAGCATGCTCAGCCTTGGATTGATGGAGGTCAGCCTTGGCCTGCGCCTCCTTAGACTTCTCTCGCTCTTGGGCCAACTTCTTCTCTTTTTTGGTCCTCGCCATCGTCTTCTCTGCATGACCTTGAGCCTTTGCGCCGCCGATGTGGAGCTTCTCCTTGGCCGTACTGGCCATGTCACTGATCTTTTCCTTCGCCGACTGCATCTTCTTTCTTCTTCTTCTTCGATCTTCTTGATCTTATCAAACTATAAACTTATTTTCCTTTCACTTTGCTTTATGTCTTAATTATATGCTTTCCGATCTAATTTAACGACTACTGGGTTATCACCACGTGTAATACGTAGAAACGTGTCACAAGCTACGAACATGTACGTGGGTACAAAAGCAATCTACACGAACACGACAATATATAGTTTCTTGATTTTGCATTATCTTTTCTTTCTTTATCTTTTCAGATTCAGAAAGTGTTATATAATATTTTTAAGTTAGCTGTTTCAACCAAAAAAAAGCTGAAAAATTATACGTTTGATAAAAATGTTGATGTTATTTGGATAAAAACATCTTTGGATTTGCGATGTAGTTCAAAAACTCGTTACATTGCTTCCGTTTAACCAATACAACTGGTCACATTGCTAACATGGAACGTGAGAGATTCCTTCGACCCTCCTTCGCTAATTGCCCAAAGATCTACAATTAGGGATTGTTTCATAGATTGCCTAACTTGATGTCAATAATTAGCTAGTATAAGCAAATCACTTGACGAGTTATGAATATAGATCAATATTATTTGCATGGGTAGCTCATTATATTCTGCGTGAGGCTATGTTTTAATTAGTCCAGTCTTTATCGATGGAGCTAGTTTGGTGTGGCTCTTCTACACTTCTACACTTTTTTTTTTTCCTTTCAAAAAATTGGAGTGAATTACCCAAATAAAAATATGTATTAATTTAAGGCACTACTACATATATGATGCAAATGATAAAACTTTAAACGAACAAAATATATTCCAAAATGAGATTATATATACAAATATCGAGAAAATGATTTATACCATTTTTTTTTTTGTCGTCCGTAATTAATTATAAGCTCAAAAGAGCCATTCCTGAGGAATGTTGTTTACATAAGTGATGTAAGACGGCTCTGTACGAACTTTTCGTGCCAGATTATCCGCTTTAACATTAGCACTACGAGAAATTAAAGATAAAGAGAAGCTTGAAAACTCTTCCTTGTCATTGTGAAATTCCTCTAAATACACTGAAAATGCCGGCCATTCAGTTGGAGAAGACACCATCTTCACCAGATCAGAACAGTCTGTATAAAACGCCACCTCTTGATTATCTGCACCAATCATACACTTCATCGCCCAGAGAAGGACCTCGACTTCTGTATGTAAGGAAGACAGACTTCTACGGAGGTTGGCAGCTCCCATGGTTGGCGGCTCTCCATTTGACGATGTACAGAACCACTCTGTACCAGAGAACTTATCACTTCCTTTCCACGATCCATCCACGAAGCAACGGTACCCTGAATAATTCGAATCAAGAGAAACCTCCCGCACTCGGGACCGAGTTGTCGAAACAACAGAACCATGATTTTCTTCTTGGAGCTCTAATTGAGCCGCTTGCCATAATTGTGCGTCTTTTTCTGCTAATCGTAATACCTCTAACGGATCTTTATCTATATTTTCAAAGATTTTTTCATTTCTTGCTTTCCAAATATACTATATAATCCATGGAAAAACTGAAGAATCATAGTCTGAAGGTATTCTCCAAAATAAGTGATCCAAATTTGCAAAATGATTTATACCATTTATTAGATACGAAAAAAGAAAAAAAATGTGAAAGAATTTATTTGACAGAAAACAAAAGAGAGATTAGTGTTAAGGAAAATTAATGTCCAAATGTCCAATTTTCATTTTGTTAATCATACATGATTACACATTTTTATGTACATACATACAAACATATGATTTAATTAAACCTTTATAGAAAAAAGATTGAATCGTTGGAGACGAAAACAAAACAAGGTTTAGTTCAAATAGACAAAAAGATTTGGTCTAAAAGAAAATCGACAAAAATCTAAAAAAATAAAAAAAAATCAAAACAAAGCGAGAAGAGCCAGAAACAAGAGTGTTTGACGGTCTACCTTTTTTGGTCAAATAGATGACGACTCTCTCTGCTTTTGCTGACACTAAACTTAATTACTCTGTTTTTTTTTTTTTTTTTTTTTTTTGACAAATTTATATTATCAGGAAAACAAAAGAACAAAAATTAGTACTTTCTTTTGCAATTAAACCCCAAGTTTTGAAATTTCAGTATCTCTCAAACTCTCATAACCAGCGAGAGAGTAGAGAGTGTGTGGAAAGAAACTAGGAAGTTGAAGGAAAAAAACTTGAATCAGAAGATTTCCAGCGAGAAAGATGGCTAGAAACAGTGACTATGATATGTGCAAAGAAGAGCGGAAGAGAGAGAGCTTCTTCAAGGTTCTACAAAGAGTTGATTTTTCTTCCGAAAACTTGGTAAAATATCTTCTTTAACTCTTCATGTTCTTAAATTATGTAATTTCTTGTTACTTTTAGTTTTGAAAGGTTGAAACTTTGGTTCTCTGTAACAATGGGTCTTGTCTTAAAGGTTGAATCTTGTTAGTTATCTTTGTAAGGTTTCCTTAACAGTCTTTATAGGTTCCAGAACATGGTTTTGTTTCTCTGTCTGAATGTGAGGATATGTGCTTTATTGTCAACTTTGTTTGTTTTGGATGAGATCTGGTTTCTGGCTTTTTTTCCAACGTCTTGGTGTGTTTGTCATTTGTGTGTAATGGGACTAGTTTCATGGTGAGACTGATACTTAGGACTCAATTACTTGATGGGATGTAAAAAAGGTTCACTGTAACTGAAGAAACATTCTTGTTGGGTATGTTCTTCTTCTTCTTATATTTTCTCTTCCTCTTATTTGCATAACCAAAAAGAGAGCACTTCCTTACGACTTTGTGAGAAGCTTCTCCAACAATGAGCTCTCCGGTAAGATGAAGATAAAAGCGCGATGGGGAAGTTCTTGGGAAGTAGAAATCTGCAAGAATCCCAGATTCTATTTCATGGAGAAATCCGGATGGGTGAAGTTTGTGAGGGACAATGCCTTGGGAGACAATGAGTTTCTTACCTTCACTCACAAAGGAAAAATGCGTTTTACAGTGAACATCTTCAAGCAAGATGGCAAGGAGATGCTTCAGCCTCCACAATCCATGGCCTCCATGGCTTCTTCTAGTAAGATTTGCTATTCTGATTATGAAGTAGTGAACTCGATAAAGACATTAGTTGAGTCTTTACTTTTGATGATGAAACAGGGCGCCGGCGCACTAAAACAGAACAAGGAATATCTTATCTTGCCACGACAATAACAGCTGAATCTAATGGAGGAGAAAACTACACAAGGAAGCTCAACTTTGAGAAGAAGAAAGCTGCGGAATCCCAAAATTCCAAGAGGACCGAGAAAGTCTTTAGTGTCCGAAGGGATTCTGCAGGTGCCTCTTCATCTTCTGTTGCAGAATTCACCACCTTCATCAAGAAATCATACCTTATCTTCATGGTAAGATAAGACAAACCAAGAAACACTTTATTGTGCTTTGTTTTGTGAATCAAAACATTATTCTGATTTTTCAGAGGATCCCCAAATCTGTTCAAAGTATTCATATGCCGATGCAGAGAACGATTTTCAAGATACATCTCCCAAATATGAAGAAGTCATGGAATGTGGTTTACTTGGTGGCAGATAGGGGTGCAAGCTTCTCTGGTGGATGGAAACGTTTGGCTCAAGAGTATCCTGTAGCAGTTGGAGACACTTGCAAGTTTTCATTCATCAAACAACACGAGCTGATTCTCTTTGTCTCAAAACCCTAAGAGGAGCTACTCACTAGTGATGATGGATGTGAAGGTGTCTTGGAGAACAAGCAACTGAGAAAAAGACTGTTTATCAGTGTTGTCTTAACTTTTAGTTTTATGTTATGACTTAGTTCGGTTTAAATTCAGAATGTCTATGGGGCGGATATATGTAGCTTGATATGTTTGGACCAATTTTAATATGTTGTTTCAGTTTGGCTTTACTTTGCTCTCTAACTCTTAATTATATTCAAGAACCACAAATCTGTTGGAATTCGATTGTGGCAGATGTATAACTACTGTTCATCATCAGAGAATTCAGAGCTATATTATAAATTAAGTTTCTGGAAAACATGAACCGATCGAGTTTCTCAGAAAAATTTGCGTATCAAACAACCATGTTACTTTGGTCCAAATTACCTGTTTTGGTCTCCTTCTAAAGCCAAAAACACCAACCAACAAACAACTATATAAGGTTTAATTGTGAAGCACTATTTGAATATTTTAACTCTTTCAGAGACCTAACATCAAAAGTCTGATATTGATGTTATGTTCCAGGAAAGAGATAATTACACATTTGAACAAGACAAGGGAACTGCTTGGTTATAAATACCAATTACTGACTTAACTCGGCCTAAATGTGGCTCTGAATGTGCAACGCCATGGCTTTTGTTGGGTTATTTGCATATCTTACAAAGAAAAAAGCTTTTCAAGAGTTACTCTTTGCTGGAATCAGCATCAGAGTTCCCATATACAGCAGCAAAGTAGTAGCTCACAGTCTTAGGTGTTACGCCAGGGAATCTGTGGGAGCTATCCGGTTGCAAATCGATCTTAACGAATGGCCATTGCATTGCCTGTGCGGCTGCACACTCTTCCCATCCGTCCCCGATCACACAGAATCTGAATTTTGGGTGGTTGAAACGCTCTTTGATCCATTTGAAACATTGGAGCTTCCCCACATCTATTGAACTGTACACTGAAGAAAGGCAAAAAGAGTTAAATGATGTAGTTTGCTTTCACATAGAAATGCAAATGCATGAAGGAGCTTGCAGAGTAGCAAGATATCAGAAGCTAAGATATCCCATCGAAGGAGATGTCTCCGAGCTTACCATTTTCATGTCTTAGGAATGTATCTAGCCGGAAAAGCAGGCACTTCACGAGGCTCGGTATGAGGGCCCCGGAAGTCACTAGAATATGTATATCCTGAGAGCTTTGATCGATTGCACTTGGTCCATCACTGGACTCTTCTTTCACACATGAACACTGCTCCAAGAAAGCCCTTGCTGCAATTGAGACAAAACCATACTGAGCAGTGGATGCGATAAAGAAAATAACCACAAGAAGCAGACAGTTCGACATTTACCCGAAGAAAGCCACCGTTCTGTGTATTCATCAGTCACATTATACAACTCATCCAACACAT